ATCGCTGTTAGAGATCAATGGAACTGCACTATGCCTCTGATTCGTCCGCAAAGCGACTTTGACAGAAATCGCGACTATCACCAACTTTTGGAACTCAGAAAGATATCGTACGATGATCCAAGTATTTAATCGAAACCTCAATGCCGATATCCCATGCCTACCCTGTCCTTGTCTAGCGCCCGAACTTGGAAGAGAAATGGCAGGTGAATTGACAGGGGCCATGGTTTGCGAGGAAGAACAGGTCCCATTGTATCGTGAAATTCCCGAAGTCGAACTACCAGCGCATTGCTAATATAGCGTTGCAAATGTGACAATGATATCACTTACCGTGGACAAAGCGTCCCCAGAGAGAAACATGGTACAGGCCACCAAACAAAGGCAAAGTTAGAGTCCGCCAAGGAGGAAAGTTCATGGTCCACAAGTGAACCCGCCTTCGAGTATAATCGGACGATTGAGCACCCCGAACTCCCGTCGACACAGAAAAAAAGTGTAATAAGAGGACAAGAGTCGTAGCTCTAGACAACCTCAATTTGCGGTCAAGGAAAATTCTTTCTGCAGTCATACACGACAATGGTAGCACTTCATATAGTAAGCTAAACCTTGGACCGCTATACTTGCGGCGCAAAAATAGGCAGGTAAATTATCACGGGTTGCAATACGTTTCTCGACAGCCTGTGAAAGGCCCAAGTATTTGGTTGAGGGTTACACTAGACGAGGGAGCCCGAATACGCCGACACCCTGGGCACAGGATCTACGGGGCAGCAGCATACCCGAGGTAATCCCGTTCAGGAATATTGAGTGCGGGAAGATCATGTCTATCAATAACCATATCCATGTCATTATGTGCTTCAGCTCACAGTGAGAAGACGATGGCTTCGATGAAAGGATCATGTTGTCGGTAAAAGGTGTCGGAATGATCAATGATGTAAACCTGAGTAAGACGGATGAAAGTTGAGATAGAACCGGGAACAGGCCGACTGCGCCCGCCTGTGATTGCTACTACTACTGCTACCTTTACTGCATAACAAATATGAATACAACATTGAGACCCTGAGACGGGTAAGCGACGTCATGCGTCATGGTGTTGAGATCTATCTAGCAACGAGGCGCAGCTACGAGACAAGAGCTTCAACGGAGGTATCCGTGACTCTATCTCAAGTGCGAGGTGATGGATGAGGCAAGGCGAGCTCAGGGCAGGCCAGGCAACACGGACCAAACCTTTGGAAACGAGCAAACGAACATGAAGCGATGGAAGAGCTGCACATCCATTACAGCCTTTCCAGGTACAGTAGTGTTAGTGTTCTGTGAAAGCATTCGTGCGGCAGGCGTTTATCTTACGGTGGGCCGCAAGTAACGTTCCAGTGTTACTCATCTGCGAGCTAACCGACTACGGTTAAGCGCATGCCTTTTTTAGAACTTCTCCATATTCACATCTTGACCCTCAATCGAAAATGTCCCGTTTCTGGAGGCATATCGTCCCTACAGATTGCGCTTGTGATGCAGATGCAATGCATGGTAAGGAATTCGCTGTATGTTTGGCCAAGCCCATCTCAGTGTTCAACGTTGCTGGAAAAGCGGACTAGGGCTTTGCATTTTGCATGCTGGAAATGTCTCTTGAGTGGTTTTTGCAAGGGACCTACAGTACAGGCTTAGACTTTGAACCTTGACCCGAAGCTCAACTACCGGCCGCCCCGGTTCGTCCGTCTAGAGGGGACCATGCCATTATCCTCATCCCCCGCCGCTCGGGCGCGCTATCTCAAAAGACTGTTTCTGTACTCCGTACGCCCAGCCCAATCAAGGGAGAAGGAGACAGGTCGAGTTCAAACGAACGAATAGAACTGAAGACCGCTACTTCAGCCAAGTGAAGCCTTGTTAACCGGCGCCCCACGGGCACCGAAGCCCAGTCGAGTAGATAGAAGCCCTAGACAATCTTGGTTAGGCTATTGTACCTTGGTCCTTACAGTTCCCAGCCCAGTCCAGCCCAGGCCATACCATGCCATGCCAGCCAACCTCTCACTCGCTCACACACAAACAAGGGTGACTAAAAAGCATCGTCTAGGTCAGGTTGAGCAAAAAGCAGCCAGCGGGTTTCTCAACAACAACTACCTCCCTAACTGGGTGATAAGGTACAGTGCTGTAAGAGCAACCATAGAGGGGCACGGACGCCCAAAGTTATTTTTACCCAGTTACGTAGTGTTTTTGTCACCTCTCCGCTCGTTCCACCGGAACCTCTTGTCGAAGTTCGGTTGCCAAGCATTTAGTCAAGAAGTCGTTCTGACTTTCTTGGCGATGACAGGCCCTTACTTCTTTTTTCTTCTTTTGGCTCTCGAGGGTCTTAGATACCTTTCCGAACACCGCGGAAAAGCGGAGGACGGACGCTAGTTCTCAACGATCTTTGGCACGCTAGTTTGACCTGCCTCTGCCCCTTGACCCTGGGCCATGTGCGTCATGTCCTCCGTGTGCAAGGTTTGTTTCTCGGCCGCTGTTCACGGGCTCATGACTGGCTGGAGGGCTGGAGGGCTGGATGCTCAGCTCAGCTCCCCGTGGTGCACATACTATGCCAAGTTGCTACACACACTGTGTTATCGCCCGCCCTTTACTGCAGAAAGGGCGTCAACCCACCTGCTGGAAGAGCCCAGAGCCAGAGTGGCCAGGTGCTAAGCACCCTCTGTAGGTGCCACCGTCCGCCACTATCTCTTGTTGTTGCTGTTTTCACCATGCTGTACTGTACTGTACAGGTACTCGCACTCGTTTCTGGTCGTCTCCTGCCCTCTAGAGCTTGTTCTGAATCGGACAGGCAGGACTGGGCGTCAACCCGCCACCACCGCAGAAACTCATGATTTCAGGTTCATTCCGTTCAGGTCATGGAGTCATTACCAATACCATCTCGGTGGTCGTGTAGAACCATGGGACGAGCACAAGCCAGCGAGGTCGGCCATACCCAATGAAGCATCTCGAATCAACTGGCCCCCAAAATAGCACAGCAGAAGCACCTGGTATGTATGGATCGATGTTATCTTCAGGCATGGATCCGTCCAGCTACTGTACCTTTACCGAACGAAGCCTTGGCTTAGCATCTCCAATTCCATGCTTGCTAAGTGCTCCAGTACCCCTACATACTCCGCAGGCCTTCCCGCTTGGCACGTTTCTTTCTGCTAATGTCCAATCCTTACTTAGATCTTCTGATCTGGTATGGACGTTTTACTAAGGTTATGGTCTGTGGCCGACGCTTCTCAGGTCTTAGTCTCAAGATGAGGAGATGGATTTCTCAACTATGACAGATGCCCAGTCCAGGGATCTTTTGGAGACAGCGGCCCTATTACTGATGAGGCTGCAGGACGCCCCCCCTGGCGTCCCTGTGTGGCACCGGACCACCCCCCATTCTTAGCGTCTTGGGCAGTTGTGTTTCTCCAGCGCACCTCACATTCTGACTCTTATGCTCGCTCAGCGCAGATACCCATACCACAAAGGTCCATCATGCTCGGGGTTCACGGCCAAGAGCCAGCGTCCGATACATTGGGACTCATCCACTGCTGCCCGCTGCCGTAGTCCCGGGGCCCGCTCTCCACAGCCCACAATTCCCTTAGTCTCAAGCCGAACTCGCCGCTTCTCTTTGACGTTCCCTCGGCCCATTTCTAGGTTCCTGAATGGTAGACAAGGTTGCATGTTTCGGGATTCTGATGATGCTCGCTCTGATTCTGGCTCAGGCTTAGGCCCAGGCTAAGGCCAAGGCTGGCTTGTGGTGGGTGCCCATCGACTGCACCCTTTTAGCACTGATGAACTGGCACTGACGCTGATTGCTGCTGGCTCCTGCACTCTCACCCACACAGCACATGGCACATAGGCAAGGACCCTCTTACCCTCCCCATACCTTACCTTCCCAACTGTTTTATCACAGTACAGTACAACACGGCAGGTACCTACCGACCGACCTTACCTACCTTACACAGCCTTCCACCCGTTCCTTCCATCCCACTCTTTCTGACCTTACACTCCCACTCCCACACTCACTCTCACACTCCTCCTACCCCCCCGGTTACTCCTCCCCCGTCTACTACCTACTCCGCTTGTATTTATGAAGGCAGCTGTCCCCAGCTCATCCTTAGATCCTCTCTTGATTCTCTTTTAGATATCTCCAACAATCATATCAAACTTTACAAGTTATCATCACGTTCGCTATTCTCCTCACCCTCCTCATCTCTCTCAACCTTTAGGAAGTCCTCGTCGACTCCTGTCACTCGCTTTAAAGTTACGGTGCCTTGCTTGATACTAGAAGAACGGTCCTCTTCACGATCCTCTTCTCTTCTCATAACTCTGGCCATTCAACCTCTTCCATATTTTGGATTATAAGGGAACACTCGCTCTGTACAAAGACCCATCAACATCTGAGATCGACAGCCTCACGCTAAAATCATCTGGACTCGACCCCCGAAATTGTCAAAGATCGACTACTGCTCGAAATTGAATACGAGATCCGCCCACATGCTCATTTAGGCTTGGAACTGCTCGATATCTTCAATCTTTGCACATTTACATTCGCTTCCCGGACAAACGGCCTCTCCAAGAAAGAAAAGAAACTCAAATCAAGAACACCATATACGATCGCTACCCCAAACAACTGGACAAGGACAACTTGGGTATCTCTGCAACTTATCTAACTTTGATAATTGTTGCTTCGTAGAATCTATCGAGCTTGCCAGCCGCATTAGTGTGAAGCCATCCGTGTTTAAGTCCCAATCCTCGACTTAGCTCCTCGACGCTTTACGCTGAATTGTCTATCACGAGACCACATTCACGATATCCTTAATTTGGACTCCTTGGATCAAATCCTTGAACCAGTCGACTAGGTGAACCATTGATCGTCACCTTGTCTAACGCTCGCTATCAATCCACAAGCTTGCCTTTGTGGATCACTTCGCGTATGTATCTTCCCTTCATATGATACTGTGCATATACTTACTGAATAGTTCTCACCACACCTTCGCTTTTAATACTTCAAAATGGCCGGTCCCGGTGGTGGTCCTCCTCGCCGCAGCCATACCAAGTCCCGCAAGGGCTGTGATACCTGGTATGATTCACGTTCTCCTCGATGATTTCTCATCCAAATACTGACTCTGCTTCATAGCAAACGCCGACACATTCGCTGTGATGAAAACTTCCCTCAATGGTGAGACTTACATTCGTGTGATCGTCATTCCCTCCAAGCTAACATAACTACAGTCGCAACTGCACTAAGCACAAGATCCGATGCCCTTATAACGACGTGCAAGTCCCCGATTCTGAGCGATCTACCACTCCCGACAAGCCCGACCTTATGTGGACGCCCCAAATCGAGGCCGCGATTGCTGAGTGGCAACGAACAGGCATTTTCCCGCTCCCTAGCCTTGGAATTTACCCTGCGCCCATGCCTCATCTGTACTCCGTCGAAGACCTTCGTCTGATCTATCACGTTGCTGCCCTGTACTATCAGTTGGCTACAATCGATGCGAACAACTTCACCCTCTGGACGCGCCATATTCCTACCCTGCTTCGAATCGGCGCTACAACCCCATATGTGATGCACGCCCTGCTCGCCTTCTCTGCCATGCACATTGCTTTCCTTACCGACTGTCCCTTGGTCGGCAGCATGGCCTATGAACACCGAGGCATCGCTCTCAAGGGTCTTCAAGAGGCCATTGGATCTTTCTCTCGTGAGACTTCAGATGCTATCTTGGCCGCCTCTCTTGTCCTTTCCTGGCAAGCCACTGATTGGTAAGTTTTCAACCCCCGTATGTGTGATAACCTCGGCTGACCGAATCATCAGGCGCAGCTGGACTCAGTTGATGCAGGGAACCTCATCGGTAAGTCGATCAGATCATGACTCCTGAACCCCGCTAACCCACAGGTAGGTTATCGATGCCATGGACCCATGGAAGCATGAATCCCAATTTGGAGACTTTATCGCCGAGAGCAGCACGTTCCCTACAGCTCCGCCATCCCCTGGAAAGGACCACCGTCCCAGCCAACCTCGCCCTGAGGACCTGGATGCTTACCAGCGCACCCTCGAGCAGATTCAGAAAGTCGAAGCCCACCTCAAGCATCACAAGGAAGACACTACTCAGATCCAGCATCTGATTGGTTTCCTTCGAGGCTCTCGTAAGATCAGCCCTACACTTTCCATTGCTCAGCAGTTCGAGCGTCTCCAGCCTCTCCGCAAATGGCTCTTCTGGATGCCCGTCGGCTACCTGCAGAACTACCATGGCTCTCCTAACTCCCTAGTCATCATTGCTCACTTGTATACTGTGGCTCTTCTCATGGAACGACTCTTCCCCGAGATCGGTGCTGCCTACTTCGGAAGCTTGTCCATCTCTCCGGTTGAGGAAATCGCCCGTCGACTCATGTCTATCAATGTCTCGGGCGCTGGAAACGAGATGCAGACTCCTCTGACTCTCATGGAGTTCCCCATTGATACAGTTGGCCAGTTCCGCTCCCGCATGGGATGGATGCACCCTGAGAGAACTCCATCGTTCCCTCAGTTCAACCCTCGCAACTTCACCGTCCAGGAGGAGATGCCATCTGCTGAGACATATCTGTACGGGAACCCTGCTTTTAGTTACAGCACCGAGGAAATGCCAATGCTCAATGCCTCTGGCCCGCCACCTTCTGCAGTGAGCCCTCTGGTGCTGTCTCCCTACCCGACTCAACAGTACCTCAACGTCCCCTCTCCGGCTTACACGGGAGCTTACAGCCCTGCATCCTCAACATTCGAGGGTTCAGTTGCTTACAGTGACACCGAGGAATACGGCTCATGGGACATGAACACTCTACAAGGCGGACCCTCTTCCAACATTCAAGACTCCCCTCAAAACTATGGCGTTGGGTTCGTTACTCCTGTCCAGGCCGTGTGGATCTAGGCTCCTCGAGACGCCCACTGGCTCAATTTGCACGAAGAACTTAGGGGATTGACCGTTACCACCCAGGATGAATACGACACCTACCTACCCGACTCCAGAGGACCCAAGTTTTTACATGACCTCCATGACGAGCGCCCCGTCTCCGTATATCAGCTCGGAGCAATTCGGCATGCTTCCTTTACCCGAATCGCCCGTCGCATCGAACGCACCACTACCGCGACACCGTCATACCTCGTCTATGTCCTCTGCACCACACCCTCCGTCTCCCCTCACACGACCTCCTGTGATGCACCAGTTCGACGACAACGCCCGACGCCGAGCAACCTGATACCCACCCCGAGTTCAATTCATTGCCAATTTGGCTTAATTGTTATGCTTTGATTCATCTTTCTACTTTTTCCAAAAACGACGCCGGCGCCATGTATACCACATTCCTTCAACACTCGCTACAACCGAATCACACCGCGTTGCCATGCAATGCCGACGCTCCCTAACTCCTTGATTGTTACACGCTCTTGGAAGTGTTGTATCATATCTCACACTCCTTATGATCTTCATCACCAAAAGAAACGACACTCCTTCGAACCATGATACCCCATAGACACTCCTTCTTAACGACTTTATGAAGATTCGATTGGTTATAGAATTCACTCCTTACGGTTTCTGCCATAGCATTATGGGAGAATCGTAAGCGGAGAGCATAGCGACTGTTTTTGTTTTTACTGCGCCTGGGAAAAGTTTGGCGTTGACTGGAGTTTAAGTTAGCATTTGTTTGGCGCTTTTGATCATGTTGTATGCTTCTTTTGGAATTGGTCATGCTTATCGCTCCCAACTCTTCGCAGAGCCTGGGGCAGCGATGGAATAACACGGGACAGAAGCACGATTGGATTTGAAGATTTTATACCTGGCCCTACAAGAGAGGCTGCAGGTGGACATGTATGTACGTTTCGGATCGGAAGGATATTGTGCAAGGATAGACTCTTTGTTTGCTGCTTGTCATGATTGTATCTATGATATGTAGGGAAGATTGGTGTCTGATGGCAGTTTTTGCATGATATAGCTGGGGATTAATTATAATCTACGATTTTTGACTTCATGATTCGTCTACCCAACAATGATTGTGCTCCTGTGAAAGATACACTGGTGAAAGTCTTGCATTTGTCTCGCTCATGTTGCAACGATGCATAAGCACTTAAGATAGGTAAAGTGTGGTGCTGATGGATTCAGCCTAAGTTTAACAGCATTGGCTACCCCCCTACGACTTGCAGACGTCCTCTTGTATACTGCCTGACTAAAAGCGATTCTTGTCATGACTAAGGCCATCTTAATGTGTTGTTCATGTTAGCTTTTCATGGTCTTCATCATTGATATTAACCTTAGATAATTCATAACATACCTAACTCTTGGTTCTGAACCTTGTTCAGCATAAGATGCATAATCAGCATCAGTGTGACAAAGAGTGTCAATTTGTTGAGTGCGTCTTGCGAATCTGATCTCCTCAATACCTGCAATAGTTAGTAGTTTGCTCCCTTCCGAAGCTGTAAAGACATACAAACGAGAGACACCGTCTATGTGCAGACATTTACCTATGTTTCACTATACCGTCCAACAGCTCCCGGCTCTTGCCACTGAACTCACTTCTGGTTTGCTCAAGCCGCCACAAACACTAACGGCAGAATTCACAGTATGTGGTTGTCGTTTCAGATAGTAGACTCTCCATCTCGTGAATGTTGACTGTACGGGCAACCAGCTGGCCCAGATACTATATAAGGCCAACAGTCGTTCATGTTCTAGAATAGACCTTTAGTTGTAGTTAACTTCTGTATAGTTCCTCAATTCGCGCTGTAGTGAGCGATTCATGTGTGCACATAAACATGTTGAAATCTCTGATACTGATAAACGAGACTGCAAGTCATGTTCTCCATGGTGACGATGGGCATGTGATAGTCGATGTTGTCGTGTTGATGATGTGCAGCCTTCTTCGTCCTAATGAGTAACAAGGAAACTGGCCTTCAAAGGCTTTCTAGGATGTGAAAATAAAGCAGTCCAAATGGCCATCAAATGTCCATCTTATCTCATCTTTTATGCTCTCGGCAGCCCATCGTTTCCAACATCCGAACATCGTCACAGCTCAAAGTCGTTATCGTATCGGGAACCTATACTGTTACAGCACTTCACATTTCATAGATCAATATGCAGGATAAGTGGTTTGAATTTGAAGCCGAGACTACTTTGCTCAACACCGTTCATACTCCAACGCCCCTTTTTCACGAAGCCATAAGCAGAGCCTCGCCACACATCAACGCCCTCAATAGCTACCAATCAATGAGCCACTATCCAAACATCCATACGCACTCCCAAACAAGTGGTGTTGATGCAGTGCGTGAAAGGAAAAAGGAACAAGTCTCAACAAAAAAAGAGCGCATAGCCATCCCGGTTATTGGTATCAATATTCCATTCCGGTTCCCCTGCCCGGGAACGTATATCCAGCCGGTATCACGTCCTCTTCAAAAGGGCCGACCGGCTTCCCATCTAAAAAATACATAAAAAAGAAGACAAGACCACAGTTTGGAGGCTCTGCTACCTCGGAAACGTGTGTCTGCCAATGCCTAAAACTCCAAGGCGCCTGTGCGAAAAAGAAAACGATCGAAATGGATCATGTATGGGCGACTTGGCCCAAGCCAACTCCGGTATCATGTGTTGTTGATGCTGCATCTCTTAAGCATCGTCGTTCTTCAATATCATGGTCTGATGTTCGTAAAACTGGGTATGTTGCCCATCTGCTAGTCGCTGCAAAAAGGTAATCGTCACTTGATGGAGCGATCATTCTAACCGCGTACTTCAAGCTGATGTACTGCTTCGAGGCCTGTTCGATGAAGTTCGGTTCGGTGGGGGCAGTCGCGCACTGTCACTTCGATCCCGGCCAGCACCTTGTCGTACGGCGTCACTGTAGCTGGGCACGGGTGGATGACGCGGGCTGGAAGTTCGGCCAGGGGTAACAGTGGCTGACGAGTTGCCTCGACTGCGGTTCATCACTCGAATCAAAGGCGTATCTTCCTCGCTGTCGCTGCCATATCGATCATCGTCACTACTTGAATGGTCGGGACTTTGGTATTCGGGTGGTGGATTTGTTGCGTCCTCGAGGTGCAAGTGCAAAGGGTTATGGTTGTGAGTCTCCTGTTGAGGTCCGGCATTGCCGCTAGCTTCGCCATTCTCCTCATTGGGTACAAAGTGAGCTAAAGAAATATCTGTTGAACTCCTGACCGGTCCAGGGCTTGTGGGAGGCAGCACGCGGAAGTTGCCGCTACGTGTTCGTCCATGTGAAGGGTTCAAGTCGTTAGATGGATTGCGTGTGTTGTATGAGCTTGCTGTAATGGAGTGACTGTGCTGCCTGCCTTGAGGATAAGTAGCGCCGTCCTTGGTACCAGCTTCCAACAGAATGCTGCCCTGCTCAGATCCATAAGGAGGTGGAGGAGCCAGGCTTCCAGTGACGGGAGCGAGACCCCATTTCTTGACGTTGGCCTCGATGAAAACGAAGCCGGCCTGTCCGAGGTTGACGTGAATAGTAGCGGGACCGTTTGCTCCAATGGCGGGGAAGAAGTTCTGTGCCTTGAGACCGTGGACCACCTCCTCAAGTTTCTTACCGTTACGAGTGAAGAAGATAGCTCCAGTTCGAGGACGATAACCCACACCGACAACATCGCCTTGGACCAAGGGGGGACCGTAAGGGGTCGCGCCAAACGGTTGGTTATAACGGCGAGCACCGGTGGATTGGTATCCAACAGAGTACTTGTGGTAACCTGGAAACATGTCAGCAAATGATCGTAAATGGAAGGTGTACAAGGGTATGACAAAACTCACCAGGTAGGCGGAAGAGAGGGTAAGGCTTAGTAGCCATGCCGATGCTCAGCAGAGTGCTCTCTGGCTTCTCGTATATCTTGGCCTCCCAGTAATAGACGTCGTTTTGCTTGGGAACAGGGAGGTTGCTCATGACGGTACATTCTGAGTCAAAGAATTCTATCTCGGTGCGAGCTTCGACAAAGCAGTTGGCGATTTCGAGTTCGGGTTCAAACTCCCATGCGGAGACACCCTTTTCTTGGATAGCAAGATATTGCGATAGAGAGATATCAGTTTGCATTGATTCGGGAGGGTTTGCGGTAACCCAGGCTATTTCGAAAATGTTAGTTGGTTTCTATTCCCCTGTAGCGAGAGCAAAGGTTTGAGAACGTACCCTTCGCACGAAGGTATTCCTGGCGGGCCATGTCGTCCATGACCTCGAGGGCCTCTGCCTCATCACGCGCGAATGCCTGTTCATCATCGTATTCGCCTGGTCGGCCAAGTCGATCGAGAATGATGCGACCAGTGCTCGCGCAGCCGGAAACCCAGAAGATAAAGATAACCAAAGCGATGAGGACGATGGATCCGAAGGACGACACGAGTCCGATGACGACGCCCGTAAAGGCGGATGACGGGTTCGACGATAACCCCATGATGGGCGATAGCAAAGTTTCCTAGTGACTGTCGCTTTTATTTATTCTTCCCGAATCTAGAGGTTGATTGATTGTGAATTGCGGTTGATTCTCAGCGTATGGACCGTGTTGGGCGGGTTTATCGATCGATCGGTCGGTGGTGGACAATCAAGGCACGGTGCTTGGCGGACGGCGTCACCGCCGCAAATGGTACATGTAAGAATCAATCGCGCGGCGAGATAAGGGTAAGATGGAAGAGGTCCCAAGTAGAGGAATCGCTAGGCTATAGATAAAGAAAAATTGGGAGAAGAGAAAGAAACGCCGAAAGAAGGTGGAACAAAACGGGTGAGATAGGACGGCGATTCAAGGCCAAAAGCTTTGGTGGTGAGGAAGGAGGAGGAATGACGAAGACGGGGAAGGGAGAGACAACCTAAGAGAGAGAGAGGCGAAGCGTAGCGTTTGGGTGGTTGGTGGGATCAGATGTGGAGGAGACTCAGACAGAGGAGCCAAGCGTCTGGCCCACGCGATATCGCCACGCAAAGTGTCTTGAGAATTTGTGTACTGTATATACTCACAGAATAGTGGTAAAAGTTTGGAGATTCTTTATTCTATCTTAGAATTAGATAGAACTCGAAGATCTACAGTTGGTGCATCTCCTGTATTTTTTCCCTCTCTTCCATGTCTTCATGCCCGCGTCATGACTCTCAACAGAATGTAACATGTACATAATCATGCAGGTTGTCGAGGTAAGCGAATGCTCCCAGCGACAAGACCTTGTAACTTAGGTGGGGCCTATGCCTAGACTGGCTATCATCACTGAACCCAGGGCCTAATGTTTGGAGGGGCTTAGGCGGGCAATCAGCCTCGAAGCCAAACCAAAAGCCAAAAGATCCGTGGAGGAAATGCCCGCACTCGCTCCCGCCGGTTCCGTCCAAGAGTGGACATGATAGCGCTTGCATCGTGTTAGCGCAGACCACCTTGTTAGGCTGCATGTCACTAACATTCCATGTGGGGCATCATGTCTTTCAAGGCTGATCCAGTCAGTCGATCATGGAATGTCTGTCTGCAAGCCCAGGCACAGGAACAGGAACAGGAACCAAAAGAACCAGCCTCAATTCCTGACGTTGTCGGTTTGATAATCCGCCACATATAAGGGCCCCGTTCGCAGATATTTCCATTATCCGCTGTCGCATAACACTAAGCAACTTCTTCAAGGCCATATTGTTTCGGCCCGGTGGCTCTAAGACGCCCCCAGGTTTCACATCCTTCATGGATCAGGCGCCTAGAAATCCAGCATTGCATGCCCAGATGGATCTACAGATTCTGCCTGAGTGCTATTTTGAGCTTTCGCGATACGCCTCGCGTTCAGGTGCATGGTACTATTGACCAACAATATTGCACTTCGGCTCTCAACTTGGAATTAATTCAGGTTGCTGCCAGGATTCTGAAACAACCTGCCTGCTTATCGATATCCTACCGAGCCTATGGAGCATTGAATGATAACCGCATGCCTTGCACTTGCTTGACCGGACTGAGCAATCCGTCGCGTGATTGTTGCAAGATTGATCTATCATCCGTGTGAGTAGACGATTGACGATTGATTAACCTTTCAACAGCTCGAGAGTTCACTTGCTATGTGTAACCTCTATTTTTGACTCTGAGTTTTGAGTTACCTATGACAACCTCCAAGAAATGTTACCCTTTGACTTGGACCTATTGAAGATTTGCACTAACAATCAAGAATTTGAAAGTAAAACAGGACTGATTGTTGCAATATTGATACCGAGAAGAATGAGATAAGTCTGCGCTGCACTGTTGAAACTCACCGACAATGCTTCAAAGAACACTAAGCACACTCGTGTCCAAGTGGACATGCAATCACAATAATCAATGGAAGAAACATATTAAGTTACCGTATCTTGATTTATTTATAGTCTAGCAAACTCAGCATATCCATATCCATTCATGTCCGTGAGAATCCGTTACCGTGCCTATTTACATACATTACACATACTACATGAATTAAACCCAAAACCCAAGCCCTGAAAGCAATAACCGCAGTTTCAGTTTCCCTTATAAAATTCAATGAACCGTTTTCATCATCCCATATCTCAGATCTTCATCTCTACTCCTCTTCTGGCACAGTTCCAGTTCGTCCCCTTCGGCCCTCTCGTGCCGCTCTGCGCGCCCTTCTCTCCTCCCTAGCACGCTCCCTCTCCAACTCCCTCAGCTCAGGCATCGGGTGGTGATAGCTCTTGGTTCCGATGTCGCCGCTATCGTCCGTGGTACGAGTCAACGCGGAGCTGACAAGACTCTCGCTTGCCTGCGAGTCAACCTGACTGTCAGCACGGGAGTAGCTTTCGGCACGCTGGTAGCTAAAGTCGCGGCGGGCGTTGCGGCCAGCTTCACGTAGACGACGGGCTTCAGCACGCATGCGTTCAGCCTCACGGTTCTCGCGACGATCAGCAGTGGAGTAAACCTTGCGGATACCGCCCTTGGACTTTTGAGGTGGGGTGGACTGGTGCTCGGAGAGGAGGTTTGTGGAAACGTTGGATTCGGTGCCATTGTTGGTAGAGCCGTCCCATTCGGAGCCTTCACTTTCCTTGTTCAGACCGCCAACGCGAGCAGCTCTTTCATGACGGTAGTTGCGGAGTTCCTTCTTGGCAGCACGTTCGGCATCTTCATCCTCGACACCCTCCTCACCGACATGTCGGCTGGTCTTCTTGCCCTTTTTCGCACGGTCACGGTCTCGCTTTTCCTGCTTCTTGCGGCGCTTCTCACGGGCATAGATGTCGCTAGCTCCGGCGGTGATACCAGTAAGTGTTGTGCTCTCAGTGACAACGGTCGTGTTATCGTCATCAACATCCTTGTATACACTGCCACCACCGAGGTTTGTTGGTCGGGTTGCGTTGGAAAGAATAGTGCCGTTAGGTCCAGTGCGTCGAAGTACGGTAGATTTGTAGTCGTCCCAATCGTTCTCTTTGAATTGGAAACCACCGTTCTTGGCCCAGAAGAAGAACCAAATACCGGTGCAGACAAATGCCACACCGATCAAGGCGAAGAGGAAGAAGAAACCGGCATTGCTGATATCGTGAGGGTCGAAAGCTCCCGACCCAGGCTCGACTGATGGTCGGTGTCGGTCGTTTTTGTCGTCATCTCGAGCAACGAGTACTTTAGAAGACTCGATGAAACGAGTAGAGAGCGTTGAGAAAGCCTCAGCGGCACGAGGGGCGTGCTGTGTGAGCGTAGGCACACTGCGCAATGCGGGAGCCATAATGGAATGAGATGTAATGAAAAGGTTTCAGTGAACAAAAGACAATCGCAAGCTAGGCTTCGGGTGCTGTAGCCCAGCCGAGCCCAACGGTGAAGGCGGTCAAGACGAACGAAGAGAACAAAGATGAAAATAAGTCCGGTATGCGGTATGTCGTTAAATGAGTCGTGTCAATTCGTGATGAGTATTGAGAGAAGTGATAATTTGGAGAATAAAGAGCGGTAAAACAATGAGAAGAAGAGGGACTTGCGTGGCTTTGCCAAGGTGATGGTGCTCGGTTAACCCAGAAACGATGCCTGTAAAAGACGTGGCTGGGACGTGTAAAGGGTGGTTGGGCACTTAAACGTACGCGTTCGAATCCTTACAACGCTTTCAACGTCTGTCAAATTAGAGTCGATTGCCGAGAAAAATAACAATTGTGTGACATCAGAGCCGTTTCGACTTAGACTGAGACCATTTTAATCATGTTTGAATGCAATCTTCTGGAGTCATGTCGTGAAGTTCAGCCACACCTTCAAATGACGTCGAAAGTAAACAATCCCATCGCTGACCAGACAACCGTTCGCACAGAGAGCCCATTTAGTCAACAGCCAATCACAGCCGTCCACGACTTGATGCTCCAGATCTCAATGCACACGCCCCCTTCCAAGGTTTCGTTTCTGGCCGCTTGGGAATGGGAACTTGACGAGCTCTATTTTAGCCTGCATAAGTTGATGGAAGGTGAAGAAGCTTCTAGGGAGTAGCGCCGGACCTTTGCCAAACTCCCTACTGCGCGCATAATCCATCGTGATACTCTGTGTTGGATTTGCTACAGACCCGAGACCCCCCTGAGACGGCGTCAACAGTTGGTCTTATGGCCGCATGAATGATTATCAAGAGCGCTTAACTGAAATTGTTAGGTGTTGAGTCTTCAGCTTTGATTGCAGAGATCGTCAGTCTTTTACGCATCAAGTCGGATACCTGACACACAGGTAGTTCCCGTAATTTGGTTCAGACGCTTTCATATCCACCTTCTTCAATGTTACTCCCACCATCCGATTCCCAAATGGTAGCCAATTGCTGTTTCATCCCAGTCCCGCATCGCCGTTCGTCCACTCATTCTCCCCTGATCAGCGGAACATGTCACAGAATTGCACAAGTAAGAAAGGAGATTGAAGAATCCAAACATGCATGCCATGCTGGTTGTAACATATGATTATTCTCTGCCGGGCAGCAGATAGAGGCGCGAACCTCATCTGCCCGTACAATCTATCGTTCCGATAACAATGTTGCGTAGTCCTTCCAGCCATGCCTCAACTTCCTCCTCTTATAACATGCCAAGCAATACAAAAACCACATCAGTACTCATTCCTCACGCAGCTTCCCCAAGGTACATGCAAGACCGGCCGGAGCGATGGGAGACATGGGACTTGATAGTGAAATCGCAGTCCCAATCCCGTCAAATCAGTCTTAGCGAGCAAGGGGCGGCACCGGCCCGGGCAGCCTTCAACCATTGTCAGATGAAGACATTTTAGTCGATAGCCGCCCGAAGGCGAAACCCCTCGTCCCCCAGGACGCATTGGCGCTCCCCCATTGCTCCTACTAGAATCCAACACAAGCCCTATCAGGGCATACATGATTTCCGAATAGAATAGTTGCTGCTTCTGAAACGTTTTTGGCATGAACGGCAGGCGATAGAGTACCAGATCCCTAAAGGAACTGAATCATCAACTGAAAGCTCCCACTGTCAACACTTTTTGGGGTATCAACTTTCTGCCATGAAACCAACAGGCGAGTTTGTCTCAAGAATAGAAGCATAAGGATACAAGTTTAGAGACAATTTCCACACAATTGAAAGTGCAGTACAAAATGTCCACCAAAATGCTCAATCAAATCGAAGATCCAGATTAAACGTGAAACGCTGCCCATCCCGTAGACATCTGGATGCAAGAAATGTGAAGAAATATAACAAGTCAAAAACAAAATGCAAAAACGCGCTGATCATCAACTTTGTCGTCTCTCATAAGAAGAAGAATCATCAATAAATGTAGTCGTCCATAGCGAACGATGGGTCATACGGGGCATGATTTCCAGAATAGCCTCGATGATGCGAGTCAGAACGACTAGGAGTGTGTGGTCGGTAAGGAAGAGCCTTTCGTTCAACTCGAGGCTGAACATCTTCCAGCTGGTAATAGCTGCTAGCGCGGTCGCTGCCAACGCGAGAAGTGCCATTGTTGGGCCTGGAGAAGGTAATCTCTCCTCCGTCACCACACTCAATCTCGGCACCCGATACGCGCACGACAGCCGAGCCTGATACCTTGATGGTAACATTGTCGGTATCGCTGGAAGAAGATCGAGTAAGACCAGTAGTGTTACTTCGCTTGTACTCGCTGTCATCATGGCTGCCACTGCTGCGGCTGCTTCCACCGCCCAGCCTAGGGTTGCTGGCTTTGCGAAGGGCGTCAGCAGTCAAAGGCATAGCCGGACCACCATTGATATCGTCCTGGTACTTCATGGCATCCAAGTACTTGTCCTCGTCAAAGCTGCCATCCCCACTGTCCATTGATTGTTCATAATCGTAAAAGGAATCTCTTCTAGTGTTGCGTGCAGGCACAATGTCAATTCCACGCTGTTCATATGCAACAGACCCACGACGAGTGCTACGGGCGGGAATGATATCAGCACCGTAGTTGTCATATGCTACAGAGCTTCGTCGAGTGCGAGCCAAAGCTGTACGGCGGTCAAATTGGGCTTCAGGGGAGTCGGCAAATAGACCAGGGCTGTCCGCAAATTGCTCATCGTCATCATAGCCATGTTGGTCTGCAAATCCAACACGGCTGCGACCAGATGGAGGAGGACGCGAAGGAGTTCTAGTCTTCTGGCGAGTCACTGTTTGAGGTGGGGCACGGAATGGAGTGGTTGGAGGAGGCATCGCAGACTTGGGTCGGGGAATACTCTCAGGAGGAGGCATGCGTCGGCGGTCCTCGTCGTTCTGGCCCGGTCTCTTGGAACGGGAGGCACGCCTTACAGGGCGAGGAGGAGCGGCTGGCTCCTCATACTCATCCTCATCTTGAGGGTAGCCAATGGCGGAGGGAGAAGGTTGGTTCTGTCGGAATCCCATTGACGAGGCGGGTCGCTCGAAGCGGTTTCTGAGATGAGCACTCGCTTGCGACGAAGGCATATCAAAGAAACCAGGTGGGCCACCGGTAGCTGAGGGTGATGGTGGAATTCCCGACACAGACGGGGATGATGCACCGGGGAAGTAGGGCGATGGCCCTGGGAAAGATCCGACAGGGAAGGAGGGCTGGGATTGCTGGGAGTGGTGCCATCCCATGTTAGAAATTGGAGGAGCTGGTTGACCAGGGTAATAGCTGTGAGGTCGAGTTTGAGCACGGGGACGCATGCCAGAGACTGCAGGCTGCTGGACACCATAGCATGAAGGATCCTCAACACGGCCTCTTCGGTACTGTTGAATAACAGGTTCAGTCCTAGTGTGACTTAGAGAGGCGGGGCGGGGCCTTCTCGCCGGCTTAGCCTCGTGATCTCTGGGTTGTGGTGGTGGTGGTCCTTGGGCTTGAGCTTGGTGCCTGGCGGCTTTGGCTCTGGCTTTTTGTTGTTGCTGCTCAGCAGCTTCTTTTTGTTTCCTCTCTTTGCGGCGTTGATCTTTGTCTCGTTGTTCACGTTCTCGCTCTCGCTCACGATCGGCCCGACGGGGACGTTCTTCCCTGCGAGGTGGAGGAGGGGCAGGTTCCTCCTCTGAATACTCATCGCTAGGAGGGGTGACGTGTCTCCGACTCGAGTGTCGTCGGTGGTCGCCTCGAGACTTTCCAGTGTTGGGACGTTCCTTGGGAGGAGGGCTCGATGGACCTGGGGCTTCTGAAACGGCATAGCGTCGTGTATCTCGGATGCCCTCGAGGACAGAGCTCTCTGAGTCCTCCTCGGCATCCTCGACGTAGCAAACCTTGTTCTTGCTAGACATTTTTGTGGTATAAAAGAAGAAGTGATTGAAGCCTGAGCGAATTCACTTCAAAGAAGTGTTGATTGGATGAGGGGTTCGACGGGTTCGAACAGGGACCACGCTAGGTGGGACGGCACAGTGGTTGTATATGGTCGCAATGGCAGGCGGTGAGTAAGCCGGCGATGGTGGTGACCTTTTTGCAATCGCGAACGCAATGCTTTAACGTCCCCTTTCGTGAATCCGAACAAGCGACATGAAGGAACTCGAAGTCGTTGATCAAGACAGCTGGAGCCGGAAAAAAGTCGAGAATAAAATGTCGCTGGTGGATTGGATTGGGTGTTAAAAGCGGTGACGATAGTGGCATAGACCAGGGCGGTTTTTTTCGATGGAGACGCTAGTAACGTTGTTATAACCGATGGTATACTGTAGTAGTCGACCGGTATGAATATATTGCTCTCAAGTTGAAGCAAGGAAGCGAATAGATATGTATGTAGGATCGTTTTTCAAAAAAGAGACGGTTATCAAACTGTCATGGAGAAAAGACAAGACATGGAAGACAAGAAGGAGGGGAGGAGGGGAAGGAGCGATGGGCATGGATGGACGGGATGGTCTGTTTTTAATAAAAGTGCAGGTGCCCTGGTGGTAATTTCAGGGCCTGGGGGCGTCCAGCTTCCATTTTCTGTGGTTGATGTGTGTGGGGGCGTGCGCTCAGACTGTTACCGGTAGTTTTAGTGGGAAATGCAGCTGGAGACGCTGAGCTATTACCGCCGGGCCCCCCAGGGCGGACACGCAGCCACTGGCCGTTGTGGCCATAGGCGTTGATTAATGGCCCAGTGATGGGGAAGCCACTTTATTCAAGCCCAACGTCTTTTTTCTTCTTGTCTACCCAAATAACACCGAAATATCGCGAGAGAACATCAACAGTAGAAGAAAAGGAGGGAGAGAGATGTGGACTGGTCGGGTGTGTAAGGTGCAACCAGCAAAAACGCTTGAAGCACACACAAAGCACAGCGCAGAGAGAATGGAAGCAAGGGGGTTAGTCTCATCAGAAAACTATCGGGCGCGGGGGGGGGCGTGTTCCTAGGTTGGCACCACGGGACGATCAATCAAGCGACTCGACGCTGGAGCCAGCACAGCAATGGAACTGCAGACTCACTCACACTGCAGTCGAAGGAGAGCAAAGCAAATCAACCACGTCAAGTCGATGAGAGCAATGACGAAGGCACTGACACGAAAACAGAACAACACGCAGAAAGAGATTGGCTACCGTTTGTTTTTACTCGCTCATTTACCCGTAAAACTTGATTCATCAGCAGCAAGACACCACCCGTCGAGTTTTCACTACGGCTCATTCTCGTTCATCCAGCAACCAGGCACCACTACAGACTACATCCATACCTCTAGCCATTATTAACAGCCACAAACATTCTAAATCAAGCAATGACTCCCTACGTGAACGTGCTGTACGGATATCGATATCGCGCATTCGTCAGAGTCCCTCTATTCTGGGTGGCAAGGGAGCCATGAGGATTACTAGTTAGTATCCATGGTAAAACACAGCTGCGTCGTTACGGCCCGCCTCACTCAATGCTGTGTTGGCATATTCCTCAATGCTGAATTAAGCAGTCCCTCACAGCTGCCCCTGAAAATTCCCCCCTTCTCTTGACTTTCCCATCTTCCATTCTTGCTCAAACTTTGATCTTTCCAAGAAATGCCATTGAAAACTATCATTTTGAAGTGGGGGTGGCTTCTGGAACCAGGGTCTGCGCTTTTGCTGTGCTGGTCAATTTATCGTGGTGAATGGAATGGAATGGATGGATAATGGATCCATCCCCATCCCGCTCAAGGCTTACCACCATTAAGCAGCGAGCTGGCCGATGGAGTTTTTTTTTTTTTTTTTT